TGTGGTGGTGGTGGTAGTGGTGGTGGTAGTGGTGGTGGGGGTGGTGGGGGTGGTGAGCTGGCGGGTTGGTGGAGGCGGGCTGACATCACGGGGGGGGGGGTAGCTGCCTGATGGTGCACTAAGTGGCGATACCAGGGATAGAGAGGGACGGATATACATACTCCGCATGGTTAATAACATTACAGATATACATACTCCGCAGGATTAATAATATTACAGATATACATACTGCATCAGGAATAAAATTGTAACAAGTTACCAACAAGTAGTGATTTGGGGGAAGTGGTCAAATCACGGCGTGTGTGGGGGAAGTGGAGGTGAGGGGTGCCGTACCTTCACCAAGGGGTGAGCAGCGTGGGTTAGTGGGTAGAGCTGGTGGCGCTGAGGGTCCCCTCCAACAGCAGCCGCAGAAGCAACCGCAGAAGCAATAGCTGAGCGTACGGCAGTTGTGGCGATGGCGGGAAAGGCGGACGTGGGGGAGGGAGCCCGGGGAAAAAGCGCCGGTCCGGCGACGGCAGCTTTGGGTTTCAAAGGTTGTACGACAGTCAGGTCGCCCAACCGCCCGGCGGCGGCATCCTGCATTCATACATACGTACGTGCATACGTACATACAAACACACAAATACACGTAACGCGATGCGGAAAGCACAACATTGGTGAAGACAGCGGAGAGGCGCAAATACGGAGGAGAAACACGTACGGGGAGTATGTCTGTATATATGTATGTATGTGCGTGTGCTCAACTGTCGGGAACACAGCGCGCGGAGCATTACTCATGTCAAGGGCCCCTCAGACCGGCTGCAAACCCGTGTACGACACGGTACGACACGACACGTCCCAAATTCCCCCTCCCCCTCCTTCACGCCTCGCCCCAACCCTCCTCCCTCCCTCCTCATACACACGCCCACACACACTCCCAAGGCGCCTTGTCTCCACCACTCCTGCCCCCTTCCTCCCCCCCACACCACATACATGCATACATACATACGGTACGTACATACATACATACATACGTACGCAACGCACCGCGATGAGACGATCCGCATCCAGCCTCGCCACCCTGCTCGTCCCAACGGCCGAAACAACAAAGTACGAAGCCGGATCTGCCTCCGTACCACACGCATCACCATGATGCCCGCGCCAACTGCTGGAATTGTTCGCCGCCGTACTGGTCCCCGTCAACACCGCTGCCAGAGAGAATGTCGTACCTCGCGCCTCCGCCAGCCGCTGCCGGGCTTCGTTGGCAGTCTTCGGGGGGTGGGGAAGTGACGTCAGACACCCGCCGTGCGTGTGTGTGTATTTCCCGCCGGTTTGGGGGGGTGAATGAGGTTGATGGGGAGGGGGAGGGCCCCATTGGGGTGCGGGGGAGTGACGTGCGTCTTATTTGTGGGGAAAGAGTTCTCCGAAGAAGAGCGGAGAAGCCCCGGAAGGAAGAAAGGGGCAACACCCTCTCCCTTCTCTCCCTTCCTCCCCCCCCCCCACACATACACACACGCATACACACGTACACACACACACACCAACCCGTGGTCTCCACCAACCCTCTTCGGCGCCCCGCCCACCTGTATGACAGCCACCCCCAATGACGGCATGTTGAGAGAGTGCCGTACACCGGGAAAGGGGGACGCAGCATCGACCAGGGCGCCGGCGGCAGCGCGGCGTACGACACTGACGTCGTCGCCGCCGGGGTACGCCGCCGCCACGGCTCTGCGCAGCGCCGCCAGCCGCAGCGCCTCCTTGTTAAGAGCCGCCGTCATCTGATTGTGGCTGGTGGAAACACCAATACACAGAAATACGCACGCTAATGTACGGCAATTTCTACCACTTCCCTTGCCGGACTACTTGATTTGGTAACGGCTCTCGGACACACAACGATTTTAAAAGAAGCGCTTCCGCCTCCCCTCCCCGGGACTCAGTTCTCAGACACGTCATTCGTGCCGACATACATAGCTCAGGCACTACCGATAGAGCACGCACCAATGCCCCCGGTGGATCCCGGAATCGAGACACAAAGACACACATACAGGCAGACGCTGAGCCTTCGACAGGTCAAACACCCCCCTTCCCTCCTCCCCCTCTCCCTCCTTCCCCCCTC